CTGTCTGCGGTCATCGCGCATCTGTTGCAGTTCAGGTGGGGCCAAGCCTCGGCCGCGGAGCGGGGCGCGTTACCGACGGGGTCGGAGGGCAGAGAGGCTTTCATTTTCGACGGCGACCTGGGCTCAGACACGATTTCACTGACCTTATTCTTGAGGTCGAAGATACCATCAATCAAGCGCCAACAATGGGCGATGGCTTCGACGCATTTTTGCGAAGGTGGTTTGCAGCAAGGGGCCGACGGCCGATCCCTGGGGAGCTGCCTTCGCACCCATGAGTGCGCTCACAAGGGGCACGAGCTTTTTGAGATGATGCCATGCATTTCTGCTGGGGGCACTTGGCCCAGACAGAGGATCGGGGACGAAGCGGGTGGCCTCGGCTCTGTGCTCTGCGCGCGCTGCGGCCTCAACCCCGATACCAGGCTTCATCGTTGCTGGTCCTGCCCCAAGAACAGTGGGGCAGCGGCCTTCGAGGCTTCAGAATGCCTCTCACCTCAGGCTTCGCAGCATGAGGTCGAGCCCTGTTCTTGGCTCCGCGGCATTTTGCCAGCGTCGTGGACCGAAGTCCCAACCCCAGCCGGCCAACCGTGCTGGGTGGGCAGCGGCTCCGGGGCCCCACTCACCCAAGGCTCTCTGGGCACGGGCTTCGACGCGGCGCCGCTAGTGCTCTCTGGCGACGCCAGCGGGGGGCCCCGATTCGCGAGGCCCCCGCCTCCGCAGAGTCGGGATCGGCGTTGTGGCCATGTTCTCTTTCAGCCCTTGCCGAATCGACGCGTCAATCAGAGGACCTCTGCCAGGCAGTAGGCAGACAGTCCCTAGAGGCGAATTGCTCGGTCTAGTCATTGCAGTTGAATGCAGCGAGGGGCCTCCCATTTACGTTGCGGACAATGAGGCTGTCATGCGAGGCTGGCATCAGCGGGCTTTCGGCCGCCCCAGTGGCGATGATGTGGATTTGTGGCGCATATTCGGCAAGTTGCGACCGCAACGCGACTTGGGCACCATCGTAGTGATGCATGTGCCTTCTCATCAGCCTGCAGCAGACATCGTGCGCTCAGGGCTGCATCAATGGCTGGCCCTGTGCAATGCTGCCACAGACGAGCTCGCAGGCCAGGCGGCGCTCGAAGCTCGCCTACCCCAGCTCTGTTGGCACAAGGTCGCCAGGGCAGGGCATATGGCCCGACTCGTCCGCAGGCGCCTGCTCCGAGCTCACATCGAGGCAGCGATCGCGGATAAGAGGCAGGGCCTCGCCGTGAAACAACGCTGCGTTCTCCCCTCTGCTGCTGCTCATGCTTTTTACTCCTCGGCCCATGCGTTGTCCGAGGACGGCAGGAGCTGCCAGCGTTGCCGTGCCAGTGCTCCACTGGCCACCTTGACCCAGTGGCGGTGCACCGAGTATGAAGTTGGCCTGATGGTATGCACATAGGGGGGAGTTGGACCCACCCGAGCCATCATCGATTAGATAGCTATGTATTGTGATTGTGGTTTTGTAGTTCGTATGGGTTTTACGGGAATCAGCACATGCGGGGCCTCACCAACGTGTGCCTGTCATCTTCCAGTCTTCCACTTGAACAGAGGGTTCAAATCACAGCTACCAGACGTAGCTACCTGACCCGTATCTACGCGGGTACATTTCCCAAGTATCAGAAGCCTTGGCGACAGCCGAGTCAATTGCTCGTGCTCAGTGTTCAGGTCATGCCACCTCGCTTCGCGATCGGTCCTATCCTATCCTATCGTATCCTCCTTCGGTCGTCCGCTCTGGTTTGGGAGGGGTGCGGTTGTTCAGCCGCGTCTGGCTCACCACGTTCTTACCATGCCTTCTCCCTTCCCTCCTCCTCCTCCGCCTACTCATCCTCCTTCTCCTCCTCCTCCTCCTCCCTCCTCCTCCCTCCTCCTCCTCCTCCTCCTCCACCTCCTCCTCCGCCTCCTCCTCCTCCCACTCGTCCTCCTTCCCCCCCTTTCCTCCTCTTATAAGACGTTCACTCCTCCTGCTCCTCCTCCCCATCATCATCACCATATCATCATCAGCATCATAATCGTCAACAACAGCATCACCAGCATCATCATCATCAACCTCACCATCGTCATCATCATTCGCATTCGCATCATCACCAGCACCATCATCACCAGCATTACCAGCATCAGCATCATCATCATCAGCATCATCATATGAAGCTTCATTTTCAACATCACCGTCATCATCAGCAGCAGCAGTATCCTCAACCTTAACCTTATCATTGTCATGATCCTGATCCTGATCCATGTCCTTGTCCTTATGCTTGTCATCATCCTCATCCTCATCCTCACCTCCATCCCATTATAGTTCCCCCATCCTCCTCCTTCCCCTCCCCCTTCGGTCGTCCGCTCTGGTTTGGGAGGGTTACGGTTGCTCCGCCGTTCATGGCCCACCACGTTCCTCCTATTCCTTCTTCCGTCCCTCCTCCTTCTCCTCCTCCTCCTCCTCCTCCTCCTCCTCCTCCTCCTCCTCCTCCATCCTCATCTTTCTCCTCCTCTTCCTCTTCCCCCTCCCTCTCTTCCTCCTCCTCCTCCCCCTCCTCCTTCTCCTCCTCCTCCCTCTCTTCCTTCCCCCGCTCCCTCTTCTCCTCCTCCCCGCCTTGCTCTGATGGGGCCAATTTTCCACCACCACGACCATATGTAGCACGTGGGAGAGGGGAGGATGGGGAGGCCCTCCTCCTCCTCTTCCTCCTCCTCCCCCTCCTCCTCTTCCTCCTCCTCCTCCCCCTCCTCCTCCTCCCCCTCCTCCTCCTCCTCCCCCTCCTCCTCCTCCTCCTTCTCCTCCTCCTCCCCCTCCTCATCCTCCTCCTCATCCTCCTCCTCCGCCTCCTCCTCCTCCTCTTCCTCCTCCTCATCCTCATCTTCATCATCATCCTCCTCCCTCTCCTACCTATGGTGGTGGTGGTGGTGGAAAATCGGCCCATCAAGCCTTGCTCGGACGGGGCTGGGACGAGGATGAATCCGTTCCAGAGCGTTCCAGAACGCTCGCGGAGCGTTCCCGAACGCTCCGAGGTTCTTGTCGTCCTGGCTTCGCCCGACTTGCCTCCGAGGACCACGAAGGAGTTGGCATCTCTTCCTCGGCGTTAGGCGGCGGAGGCTGGCGGAGGTAAAGCGCGAGGGCGGCTCCGCCAGCGAAAGCCGGCATAAGAGGCTGGCCGGCGGAGGCCGGCGGGGGCAAAAGGTGCGCGCCCAGGAGTTGGCAACGTTTTTGCATTCCGGGTCTCCGGAAACGGCCACGTGGTTCAGTATCGTTTCACCGATCCCCATCCCCATCCCCCTTCCCTTCGAGACCCCCACGGAGTTACCGCCCCAGTGGGGGATGCACCCCTCGAAACCCGAATGGAACGACCCCTATCCCCATCTAGGGGAGTCAATCGGCCAGTGGGGCCCAGGCCACGCCGCTGGGGATGGGTGTCGGTGAAGCGATCTTCGGAGGTAAGCGAGGCGGTGCTGCGAGGCGCGCAGCCACTGCGTCGCCGCAGCCGAGGCGTGAGGGCAGGCACGATCGGGCGAGGAAAGGGCATACGCGCATGTAAAGCTGCCCCTCCGCCCCCTTGTCGCCTTTTGGGCCTCTGGAGGAGGAGGAGGAGGAGAAGAAGGGAGGAGGAGGAGGAGGAGGAGGAGGAGGAGGAGGAGGAGGAGGAGGAGGAGGAGGAGGAGGAGGAGGTGGAGGAGGAGGAGGAGGAGGAGGAGGAGGAGGAGGAGGAGGAGGGGGAGGGGGAGGAGGAGGAGGCCCTCGTTGCCACGGCTCCATCATGCGGGCAGAACGCACCCCAGGAGAGGCCCGAGAAGCAGTTGCGTCGGTAGTCGGCACCTTTCGGCGACTGTACTGGGTGTGGTTACCCCAGGGTGTGGTTTGTCGGAGGCGGCAAAGAGGGGGGGTGATGACTAGGGGGGGGGTGGATATCATGGCGTGGGCCATGATATTTCCCCAGATTTCATGGCGCCTCTTCTTATTTCATTACGTCCCTGGTCCCCCCGCTGGGCCGCCCACATGTCGCCCGTCATGATTTGCACACACCCCTTTTGGACACCCCCCTCTTGGCCGCTCCCGAGTTTGCAATCGGCGCCGTTAGGGCCTCGGGGGCACGAAACTATCCTCGTCGGGCCTCCCCTGGGCGCGGCGGAGAACACCATCGAGTTCCCCGCCCGCCCCCCAGGGTGCCCCCCAGGGCGCCAGTTGCAAACCACACCCTTCTCAAGCCACACCCTTTGGAGTCGCCGAACCTTTTTTGGTTTCCCAGGACGCTTGATGAGGGCACAGTTTTCCACCACCACTACCATGGGTAGGAGAGGGATGAGGAGGAGGAGGTGGAGGAGAAGGAGGAGGAGGAGAAAGAGGAGGAGGACTTCCCAATCCTCCCTTTTCCCGTCCTACATATGGTGGTCGTGGTGGAAAATTGGCCCATCACTTGAGAGGGGCCTAGGGCCGTCCCGAAGTGTGCTCAGAGGTGCGCCGCGCCCAATGGAGCAAGGCCAGCGCCTGCCAAGGCCGCCTGGCGGGGCCTCCTCCCTCGAGGCGCCGCGTGGCATCACGGGAGATGGCCGCCATGTGTGAAATTAGTGTTAAGTCTGGCATGTCCTTCTACAGGAGGAACATCCCAACACATCTGAGAAACATAATGTGTGACCGATTTTTTTATTTCTTAATGTTTAAGTTATTTGTGAATGTTGTTGCACTGCGAGTATGCTTCGTCCAAACATCCGCCTGTAGGAGGACATGCCCGACATAAAATTTGTGGGGGCATCACCAGCATTGGCGGCGCATGGCCATGAGAACCTCACTGTGCTCTGGTTGGCCCCCAGGCTCCGACAGCCGCGCGCCCGGTCAAGAATCCGAAGACATTCGAACGCCAATCCGTAAGCAGTTTAGCTCAAGCCGTTTTGTCTCGCGCCTGTTTGGTTTGCAGCAGTTGGCTTCAGCTGGACCGTCCGCGGTCATCCACCAGGAGGTCCAGCAGAGCCGCATAGTGTCCACAACGGCTTTTAGCATGACTGATATTGACCGCCGCAGTATGACTCGCTGTGAAGCTACCCGTACTCGAAACGAGGTTGGAGTTCATTGTGCCGATGAATCAGGCGAGCTTGGCGCTGCCAAAGGCTTTACGTCTTTCAGGGTTTGCGCGGGCCCTCTCATCACGGCTGGCGCATCAGCTGCCCTGGGAGGTGGTGTGGTCAAGGACAGGCAAGCCGACCGAAGTCATGATGGGCGCCGTCGAGCCGTCTTCTCGGAGTCCCCATGGTTTGGGAACGCGGCCCAGCACGCGTGCCAGATAGAGGAGATCATGGACGAGTTGGCCCGCCACTTCAACGTCGACCTCTGCATCCTGACGTGGAGGGCCCACGGCGAGCTTTGCTTCAAGGCGGGCTCCCTGGTGGGCACGATTGACGTCCCCCGCACCTGGGAGTACAGGCACGGGCACGAGTACCAGCTCTACAACCACACCATCCCGTGGGCGCTGCCCGTCATCATCGATGACGTGCAGAAGGACGAGGTCCACAGGAGGGTCACCCTGCCGCCGCCGCTGCCCGGGGCTGCCCGCTTCTACGCGGCCGCCCCCCTCCTGCGCGACGGGGCGGAGTTCATCGGCACGCTGTGCATCGTGGACTCCAGGGCCCCACGCTCCAACTTCAGGCTGGACGACGCGGGCGCCCTGGTCGAGAAGGCCAAGCAGCTCGTCGCGGTCGCCCAAGAGCTATTCGACTCTGACGGCGCCCGAACGTAGGGGCGGCTTCGTGTAGCTGCGCCGTGGAGCGGAGCCCGCCGCGGGTAACCTCCCTGCAGCGCAGGTGCTGCCCCGAGGGCCCTGAGCGGCGGTCCGTTGCAGGGGAGGCGGAGCTTCTCCAGGGGGCGCCCTGCTCGAAGGGGCGGGCTCCGTCTGCGCTGCAGCGCGGCTGTCCTTTTTCGCCAGCGTCCCTCACCCCTCCCCGTCCCTCGATTCCGTCAGTTGCAGCCTTCGGGCCAACTAGGCACACCGAAGGACAGCTCGTGGTCGAAGTGCCAGCCGCCTGGTGGCGTGATCGTTTGAACGGCATTCACCACGATGTTTTTCGATGGCTACCCATCCCCTCTCTTGTCTTTGGCCCTGGCTGGTTCGCGCAAGGTTTCTCGTGAGCCCACACCATGTGCCATGTGCGTGTGTCATGAGCCGTAGGTGGATTTTCCATCAGAAGCCCATAGGTAGTGTTGCAACGACGCTTGTTTCTCTTGCATTGGCAGTCCCAATGAATTTGATTCATCAAGCTACCCACTCGGAGTTACTCGGTGGAGCTAGCCATGGGACGCGCGGTAGTGCAGCGTTCCTCCGCGGGCGCGTTTCTGTTTTGGCCGTCGCACAGTCTGCTTGCGGCGCCCCATCATGCGCCGTCGCGCGGTCCGCGAGCGGTGCCCCATTTATTCCCGCTTTCGTCCTGAGCCCGCCGCGCTGTCGTACCCAAAGACGACGTCTCCACTGGTTGTTACACCTCTGGAGGTTGCGGCCTCTGCCAGGCATGCTCGCAGGATCAGGTGGTTTTAGATCGCCAGGGCGGATCGCCTCGTGGCGATCTGGCCTCCAGGCGATCGTGCCTGCTTTTCACTCCTCCTCTTCCTGCTCCTCCTGCAGTTCCTTCCCCTCCTCCTCCTCCTCCTCCTCCTCCTCCTCCTCCTCCTCCTCCTCCTCCTCCTGCACATCGCGCTCCTCGGTCTCGACCATGCGATCAGTCCTACCAGTTTCTGGGGAGTGGCCACCGTGGCAGGCCACACCGAAGCCGACACTCCGGAGCTGGCCGCCTACCCCTCCTGCCTCTCTCCCTTCCCCCGCCCCTCAGTCGCAGCCGAGGAGCTGTGCTGGCTGCGAGGATGCGCGCCAGCACGAGGGCGGGTGCGCTGCCGCCGCCCCGCCGAAGGGCGGAGGCACTGCTGCCGCACGGGAGCGGCAGTTTGCCAGAGGGCCTTGACGACGGAGCAAGGATCCCGGTGGTCTTGATTCGTTCCTGGGTCTATATATGACGTATACACATATTATATGTACATATATATACACATACATATATTGAATCGCTTCGCTCATTCCGCCGGCCCGTATTGTGCCATCGCGGGGTCTTGGGGGGTCTTGGGAGCCCTTGGAAGCTTCGTGGGAGCTTCTTGGGAACTTTGGGAGGCCTCGTGGATGGCTCTGGCTGGGCCCTCTTGGTGGTCTTTTGGTTGGGTCTGCCTGGCGTCTTGGGGGCCTCCTGGGAGCTTCCTGGGGATCTCTTGGGGGCCTCTTGGGGCTTTCTTGCGGCCTGTTGGGGGCCTCTTGGGGCTCTCTTGGGGGCTTCGTGGGGCTACTTGGGGGCTTGTAGGGGCATTTCGGGGGCGTGTTTGGGCGGGAGGCTCAAAATTTCCGTTCAGGTTGCCCCTGTGGACCTCAATCATGGGGCCGTCTTGGGGCCTCTTGGACCGTCTTGAGGGTTTCTTGGGCCTTCTTGGAGCGCTCTTGGGCCGTCTTTGAGCGGTCTTGAGGGTCTCTCGGGCCGTTTTGGGGTGATCTTTGGGGCCTCTTGGACCGCCTTGAAAGGTGTGAAAGACGAAGAGGCGGATATGTTAAAAATGCACGCTGTCCTAAGGGAATGAGGCTATTTTTGCTTGTGGGAGCCCTCTTGGGGCGCCGCTTAGGGACCTCTTGGGGCGTCTTGAAGGCCTGTTGGGCCGTCTTGAGGCCATCGTAGGCGCTTTGGGGGTGATATTTCGGCGTCTCCCGGCTCTCTTGGACCGTCTGGAGGGCTTCTCGGGCCCCTCTCGGACCGATTTGGAGCCCTCCTGGGCTCCGAAAAAGAGTTCTTCAGGGTTTCTTGGGCCTTCTTGGAGCGCTCTTGGGCCGTCTTTGAGCGGTCTAGAGGGTCTCTCGGGCCGTCTTGGGGTGATCTTGGGGGCCTCTTGGACCGCCTTGAAAGGTGTGAAAGACGAAGAGGCGGATATGTTAAAAATGCACGCTGTCCGAAGGGAAAGGGACGATTTTTGCTTGTGGGAGCCCTCTTGGGGCGCCGCTTAGGGACCTCTTGGGACGTCTTGAAGGCCTGTTGGGCCGTCTTGAGGCCATCGCAGGCGTTTGGGAGTGATATTTCGGCGTCTCCCGGCTCTCTTGGACCGTCTGGAGGGCTTCTCGGGCCTCTCTTGGACCGTTTGGAGCCCTCCTGGGCTCCGAAAAGGGACCTTGCCGGGACCTTGCCGGGACCTTGCCAGGGTACTTTTCGTCCGGGGACCCCCAGGGCCCGCCCCGCGCGCGCGAACTAGAAATATTGTTGAGCAGTTACCGGAGATCTTAGCACGCCTCTGGCCCGTTTGGCCGGCACATACATCTATTTATGATTATCTAGATCTACACATGTAACTGTTTCTTCTGCGAATGTACCCGCTCACTTCACGACTCTTGTTGAAAACTGGAGGCGTAGCATGTGAAGTGGCCACGTCGGTTTTTTGTTCGCAGGTGTTGCTTGGTCACCTTGCTGCCGTTGGAGTCATACTCCATGGTCCTTGTCTGCACGCGACGTATACAAGCACAATCTTGAAGCGCATTGAAGGAGAGGCGTTCAGTTTCCTGAGTGTGCAAGGTCGATCTCGCACTCCAGGTTGTTGGTCATTCCACATCTTCCGAGCTGCGGCACCCTTGCGCGTGGGAGCACGTCCTGTGCCGCATGGTTAGGCTCTTCCAGCCTCGCTTGCATGGTCCCTTATCCATCCGGCCCTGCCAGTTCCCCAGCCAGTGGCCTTTCAATTGGGATGTGACTCACGCGATCTGCGTGAGGATCTTTTTCTCGTTCTCATTCTCCCTCATTCTCGCATTTTATTGTTGCTCTATCTCTCTCTCTCTGTCTGTATATATATACATATATATATATACATATATATATATATGATATCCCGTCGATCCTTTCGACCAGCCCACGCACGTGCACGTATCCCGTGGTTGTTTGTCTCTCCTTGATTTGTACAGCATCAGCGAGGGCGCCTGCCCTGGAGCCTCACGGTGCGGCAATCCTTGCCATCCTGCCTCGCGCTGGCGGCGTTGTGCAGGGCGCGACAGACAAAAATAATTCGAACGCCAATGGTTCCAATATGAGCGGGAATTCCGTCCATGAGTTCTAGTAATTATGGGAGTTCGTTGCATGAGTTCCACAAGGTTTTTTCCGCTTGGCGCAACCCCACCTGACACCTCAGATACGAATACCAGGCGCGTTACATTGACTGGGGAGGCGAGGGAGCACGCCGTGGAACGAAACAGGGGGCAGCCGTAATTCACCGAAGCCTGCGATCAGCCTGAGCACACCCAGGAGTGAACCGCATAACCGCATGCCGATGATAATAAAGGGACCCCCCCTTCAGTGTTTAGAGTTGATTATCGTCGCCCTATACAAAACTCAAATTGGGCGGCGAGCGCTGAGGCCGAACTTCATTATCACCTCGAAACGCTATGTTGAGATAGCAACATCAAGCGATGTTGCTATCCCCGCGCACGCCTGAACTTTTTTATCTCTGGGGTTGACTATCCATGGAAAGGGGAGCACATGAGCTACCCTACATGAGCACTTAAAACATCAATTTTCATAAAGCGTTTGTAAATTAAAATTGATAGATTTGGAACTTTCCATGGTTCCGTTCTTCTTCTCTTAGTATTATTCTCTTCTTCTCTTCTTATTATTATTCTACTTTCCTCTTCTTCTTTTTTTTTACTATCTGTCCTCACGCTCGCCTGAACTTTTTTTTATCCCTGGGGTTGATTATCCATGGAAAATGAAGCACATGAGCTACCCTACACGAGCACTTAAAAAATCAATTTTCATAAAGCGTTTGTAAATTAAAATTGATAGATTTGGAACTTTGGATTTTTCCTTTCTTCGTCCTCTTCTTATTCTCCTCTTCTTCTTCTTTCTTATTAGTCTTCTACTGTATTCTTCTTCTTTTATATTTCTCTCTGTCCCCACGCTCGCCTGAACTTTTTTATCGCTGGGGTTGATTATCCATGGAAATTGAGGCACATGAGCTACCCTACACGAGCACTTACAAAAAACAATTTTCATAAAGCGTTTGTAAATAAAATCTAATAGATTTGAAACTCGAGATTTGTTCTTCTCTTCGTCCTTCTCCTCCTCCTATCATTTCTTTTATTTTATTATTTGTTATTTTTATTTTTATTTTTTATATATAGTTTCCTCCATTCCAGCGAGATAAGCCATTGTTGAGGATATTTCTATGAAAATTAAACGCCAAGGATGTCTCAAAACGTGCTCGGCTTGGTCTCCTCTTTATCATCTCTTACTTCGAGATTATGCTGAGGTCTGCTGGGCTACTTTTATTATCTCTCCCTGAACCCCGAACTTTATTATCCCCTAGTGTTTATTCTCACGGGCATGAGGTTATGCCTTCGCGGCCCTGTCGAATGAGGAGGAGCAGGTGGACGAGGAAGGATAGGGAGGAGGTGTGAGGAGATGGAGGAGGAGGAGGAGCAGGAGCAGGAGCAAAAGCAAAAGCAGGAGGAGGAAGGGAAGGAGAAGGAGGAGCAAGATGATGAGAAGAGGATGAGGATGATCAGGAAGAGTAGCACGGCCAGCAGAAGGAACACGAGTTTGACGGAGAGCTTTCCCAGTCGTTTCTGGCGAGCCCTAGGCGGAAGGAAAAGCAGGAGCAAGATGAGGATGAGGACGAGGAATGGGATGATAAAGAGTCGGAAGGGGAGTGGCGGGAGGATTAGGTGGGACGAGGATGATGAGAAAGAGAAGGAAGAGGAGCAGGACGGTGGGAACAGAAGGCGACGGCGACGACGGCGACGATTCAACCACAAAGGCCCTTGCGGGTCTTTCGCTCTGGAAGCCTCTTGGAGCCATCTTGAAGCCTTCGTAGGGCCTTTGATGCCATCTTGGGGCTCGCTTGGGGCCCCCCTTTAGGGGCCTTTCCCGACCCCCAGTGGGAATCCAGTCTGGGTTCAGTCGCCCTTCTGGGCAGATGCGCGCCTGAATTAGCTCCCTCTGCCGTCCCCGGCGGCGGGTTTCATTGTTTCCCAATTTTACTCCCAGCAGCCAGGACGGCGTTTTGCTGCTGTGCATGCGGTGTGTGGGGCTGTTCGGGCCCTCTTGAGGCGAGCAAGACAGGGGCCGCCGCGGATCAGCGTCGCCCCTCCTGAACCCGACAAGTCGCTTCTCGGGGCGCTCCTGTAGCGCTCTTGGAGCGCATATGGACGCTCGTGGGGCCGAAAAGATCACCCATCGGTCGTTGAAAGTAGGTATTTTTGGAACTCCCAGATTACAATCTACTTTAAGCGTTTCTGTTTCAATGATCGAGTGGCTTCACCTTTTCCGTCCTCCTGAGGGGGCGGGCGGACTCCCAATCCATTTCCAACGCCTTCCGACTTCACGTTTCTACCTGCTTCTTCCGACCGATTGCGATGTACCTGGGACGAAAAGCCAGTCCTGGGGAGGGGGTCTAGGCATATGGGGGTCCATGCTGTGAACTAGTCACGGCGTCGGGGGTCCTGGTCTTGCCTCGTCCGCTGGGAGGGAGGCCACGAGGGCAGAGGGAGAGGTCCTGGCCGTGGCCGGGCTGAGGTGATGGTCGGCTGCGCCTTCATCAGCCTGCTGGTCAGGGGGGCGATGCACCTGAAGGAGAGCTGGGGCGCCTACCAGGCCCTCTGCCTCCGGCTCCTCCCACCTCCTCCACCCTCCCCTCCACAGCTGCCCTCTCCTCCTTCCCCATCTCCTTCTTTGGAGTGAGCTTCTGTCACCGTTCTCACCCGGCGCACTGTTTCACCCAGCTCTGCTTGCAACGGTGAGGCCAGGATGTGTCGTAGTTATCACTGGTCCTGGTTTCCGAGGGCCTGCGGACCCTGAGAGCTCACGTTGCAAACCATACAAAAAAAAACATCGCACATGTCACGACAGAA